GTTTAATCGTTCGTATGCGAAGATCACGTGATATTACCGTACGTGCCCAATCACGTGATTTGGTACGTGCCCGTAGACCGTCCGGCTGGGGAAGATCTATGCACTTAAAGACAGGGATTTGCTAAATTATATTTTTAACTAGGTCTTATCTATATGATATTTGCCAATATAAAGGACTAAGTCAAATGACAAGATTTACAACCCCTGGAAGTAAAATATCCTTTCCATAGAGTTGGAGTTGATATTAACGTTAAGGGATATTTACCTCCTACCAAAACACGTAATCATTTGCCAAAATTTGAATATTAATGCTTTAACTTACGTTTTAACAGTCCTTTTTCATATTTATTTTATAGCTTTGAAAAATTGATTATAGCAAATTTGTAATAACTACATAATTTAGTGTAAACCTGCTCGGAGTAATACCCTAATTTAGGCACATACCTCCACAGGATTAGTCATCTATCCGGAGTAATATTTTGATTTTGATCATTATCACACGGTAAACTTTGATTGTTGTATAAAGTCAATTTTGACGTTTATAAGATGTAATAATTAGTTTATTGATTACTATATAAAGATAGGTAAAAACAAGAATATCGTAATACAGTACTAGCGATGCCGAGAAAATTAGAATTTATAGAATTCAATTGGGATTCAATTTTCGCGGGCCCTTCCATTCCGGTTACTAAGTTAAGTAGAAGCCCATGAAAATTGCCCTAAGTTAAGGAACACGAGATAGTTAGATCTCTTAATGCAGTAATGATGCACATCGATATAATAAGAAATACATAATGCATCAAAAATCCGAATAAGTCAAAGATCAACTGAAAATTTTCGTATATATTAATTTAGAAAAGCTTAAACGTTAAATCATAAAAATGAATTATTTATATACAAAACTTTCGTTGTCATATTTTGGAGCACTTCTTGCTTCCTCCGTTTGCGGAACACAATATCTTTTCTCTGCATATAGCACTGCATTGGCCAGTAAATTAAATTTTAGCTCCGTTCAAATTAATACCATTGGAAGCGCAACTAATTTCGGTTGTTATTTGAGCGGTCCAATTTTCGGTTATATCATTGATCACCATGGACCTAGAAGGTTAAAATCTTGTTAAAGGCGTGAAATTTATATGCTACTTAAAAATATTTTTAATATATGCGTAAATAATACTATATGTGTTAATTAATATTGGTATTTAGGACTGCCATGATCTCTTCGTTCTTTATTTTTGCCGGATATTTTTGTTTAGCAATGACGTATGGGGAAATATTTAATTCAAAATCCTTTCTTCTATGTGCTTTATATTTGCTTACCGTTGGAATTGCTTCGTCTGCAGGTATACCTATGAAATACTTTATTGTATTTTTTATCATAATTAATTTTTTTCTTAAATTTATTCATAGCCTACAATTCGGTTCTTGGACTTGTCGTAGGTTTAACTATTTTTATTTTTATTTTTATTTTTATTTTGTTTGTTTTTTATTTAGAGTTAATGGCACAAAATTAATGTAATCTTTTAGGCTAGAAATTTTACAAAAAATCGTGGAATTGCATTTGGTTTTCCTGTAGCATTATATGGCCTTTCCGCTTTCTTGTTCGCTCAAGTGAACGGCTTATATTTCAATAACGATACATACCATTTTCTAATATTCCTTGCTATAGCATGTGGTTTGTCTATATTAATAGGCGGCTGGTTTTTGGTAGTCATACCTCGTAACAAGCTTATCGCCGAAGCTAATCAAATTTCTGATCTTCCCGAATCATCCTCATCCAGTGATCAAAGCAATGAACAAACCCCTTTGATAGACAACAAAATTTCTGATGAGCCTGACATAGGAGGATTGGAATTATTTTATAATTCTGATGCTTTACTTTTAGGTACCTTAATGTTCTTGCTCGGTGGATGTGGACTGATGTATATTAATAACGTTGGGGAAATAATAAAATCGCTATATTCCCTTCCATCATCGGAACCATCACATCAAAACGATGGAATCAATTCCTTTGCAGACATTCAAGAATTACAGAATCTGCATGTTTCACTTCTTTCTATTTCCTCATGTTTTGGCCGCATTTTCGTGGGGTTCTTTTCAGATATCACGAAGCAAATGTTTAATCTTCGAAGAATATCCTTTTTTATTCTATCAGGGTGTCTATTGTCATTCGGACATTTTTTGACTGGATTTTGGATTAAATCGTTGGATTTTCTGTATCCAGCGACAATTTTTGTTGGTACAGGATTTGGAATGATGTTTAGTATTGCGCCTACAATAACAAACGAATGGTTTGGCCCAAAAAGATTTGGTATTAATTGGTGAGTAAAAAAAAAAAAAAAAGGATTTTTAATATATCTGCGTGAATTTAATTTATTTTAATCAATTATTATTTTCATAATCGTTATTTTTATTATACCATAAAGGGGTATCATATCAATTGTAAGTACTACCATTTTCGTCTTTTCGTTCTTATTATCATCTGATATTTATTTTATTTATTTATTCGAACAGTACCCGGCATTTGGAGGTCAATTATTTAACTACATATTTGGTCATAACTTCGATGCTCATCGAGAGGCAAAATGTGCAGGTTATGAATGTTATAAAGATGCCTTTAAAGTTAGTTTATTTGCATGTTTGTTAAGTTTATGTATTTCCACTTTTTTATTATCGTGGAGGATTAGACGAGGCACATAATTGTTTAAGATGAACCGTTTAGCAATAAGAAGTTCGGTGATTATAGTTCGTTCCGTCTTTGGTGTTGTAATTAATATAGACTCATTATATTTAATATAATAATTTTTATTTCAGTACAATTTCCCGCTGAACTTTTTAGTTGGTCAATATAGTCAGTGCACTTCCCTTAGAATCATGGAAAAAAGAAGATTACACTTAAGGTGTGTTTATAGAAAGTGAAATACCTGATACCATTATAAGTTGGACCCAATTAGAATGTTTATATGAGTGTCGCCAAAAGAAACCCGACAATTTAAATATAGGCTATATTTAAATTGTCGGGTTTTCTTTTGGCGACGCTCATATGTAGAACAGATGGGTGCTATGTTCTATGCATATAAAATTTTGATTAATCGGTAGAATTGGACTCTAGGCAGTTACGATTGTTTCGACGATTTTGCATGATGAAGCAATAATAGATGATAGACAACCGTATTTTCGCGTAATAACGCTCATAAGCGTTATTTCGAAATCGTGCCCCTAAAAATAATATGTATAGTTTCAAAATAACGCTCATGCGCGTCCCAAAATAGCGCGCACTCCATAGTAAGGGATGTTTGTTTATAGTAAGATTTAAAAATGCTTCGGAACTGGATTTAGTACTAAGCAAACCTTCGAACTTCAACCAAAAGTGGTTTTTCAGACCAACTTTTGTTAAAGCTCAAAGGAAGGTTACTTAGTACTAAACCTAGTATTTTCTTGTTTTCTTTTATATAAAATTTTTTAATTGCCTCAAAATAAAGCTCATGCGCGTACTCGAAATAACGCGCAGGTGAGCGTTATTACGCGAAAATACGGTACTTTCAGGCCTAGGAATGTGAAAAATTCAGTCCGGTCCTGACTTGACTCGAAAGTCGAGCCTTTATTAAAGTTTGGCCCCAAGTCATACTTGGGACTTCGACTTGCATCTGCATGTGCATCTAGTATATTTAGAAAAAATGCAATGCATGCCAAAATACAAATATATTAGATACACATGCTGATGCAAGTCGAAGTCTCAAGTCTAACTTGGGTCCGAACTTTAATAAAGACTCGACTTTTGGAGTTGAATCAGGGCCGAACAGGACTTTCACATCCCTGTCTGAACCTATATTTTGTTATTTTATTCGCCACTACTGAAAATTTTGGAGTATTATGGTAATTTTTATTTCGCAGTTTGCTCATACTTTTACAATGCCTGATGAACTTGCCAAGCTCTTATTTGGTATAATTGCTGCTATTCCATTTTAGTTTTTTGAGTAGTATTGTCATGTATTTCATAATAATAAAGCCCAATTTGTTCACTCTTTCGCAGAACAATATCAATTAG